GACCCAAACATCCCACAGGGGATGGACATGTGTGCCCCGTGGGGGAGGGATGTAGTAGAGGCCATGGTACAGGCAGCCCATAGAGGGGGGACACGTGGATGCCGCACAGGAGGGACCACACAGACTCTGTGGCACACTGAATTCACACAGGGACCCCACAGCACACACAGCCCACAGAGGAAGAACCCCACGCACCCCACAGAGGAGGGACACATGGACCTGACACAGGAGGGACCCCATAGACTCCATGGCACACTCAATTCAGGGGAAGGACCCTTGCATCCCATACACCCCACAGAGGAGGAACCCCACTGACCCCACACAAGAGGGACCCCATAGATTCCATGGCACAATTCAATTCAGAGGAAGGACCCTTAGATCCCACTCACCCCACAGAGGAGTGACCCCATAAACTCCATGGCACGCTCAGTTCACAGAGGAGGGACCCCACAGCACAAACACCCCACACAGGAGAGATCCCATAGACTCCATGGCACACTCAATTTAGAGGAAGGACTCTTAGACCCCCCCACTCACCCCATAGAGGAGGAGCCCCACACACCCCACAGAGGAGGAACCCCACAAACTCCACAAAAGAACCCCACTGACCCCACAGCACACACACCCCACAGCGGAGGAACCCCACTGACCCCACACCCCCTGGATAAGATCCCCACCAGGACCCAGCCTCACTGCACTCCCCAGGGCGGCTTCACCCAGGGATTTTTCACCAAACAAGGACAACCCGAGGTGCTGTGTCCCCTCCAGTCCCAGGCATCCTCCCAGTGCCGGCAGCATCCCAGCCCTTCCTGCGGAGTCAGCAGAGCTGCCCCGGGGCGATGCCTGATCCCATTTCTCTGCAAAAAGCACTGGAATCCCCAAGGATTCCCGCTGTGTCTGGGACAGACACTCAGCTCTCCCACACCAGGGAATGGAGTCGTTAAGGAATGACTTTAAATAAGCAAAATCTTGCATTAATGAAGCCTGTAATTCCAAACTAACTGCGAGCAAATGGGCTGCTTCGCTTTACCCGAGCTCCTAAAACTCAGCTTCTCTCTTATTACTATTTAATGTACCATAAGAAATCTTTATTTCTTTGTTTTATCCTTATGGGGAGTGACCTGGCTCCCAAGCACTGCTCAGGGAAGCACGTTGGCTTTTTCCCTCCTCAGGGCAAAGCTCGGGAGCTGCCAGCTCTTTGTGTGACAGATGGGGAGAGCAGAACCCTGTACAGCTCCTAAAGCCAGATCAGCATCAAGTCCCACCACTAAAAAACCCCTGCCCACAGCTCCTCACCCTCTGCCCATGCTCATACTTGACCAAGGTGGAATTTTGCAATGTTAAAGTGATTTCTGGGGATCAAAGCTGCAGAAAATATCTGGTTTTTGTGGTCAGTGGGAGCAACAACAAGAAGCAGGTGCAATGCTGAGCCTCAGCCCTGCAAAGCTCCTGGGAGCAGGGGGAGGAATATCTCTAGGGTGTCCCTGTGCCCTCCTGGGCTGGCAGCACTTGCCTTTTGCTCCAGCCCTGTCCTGGTGCCCAGCTCTGCCTCCAGCCGCTCCTCCAGCTGCGCCAGCCGCTTCCGCAGGAAAACGATCTCGGTCTGGGCACAGTCAAACCTCACCTGCCACTCGTCCTCTGCCAACGAGAGACACCCAGGGTGGGTGCTGGGGGCCTGAGCAGCCCCTGGGGCCCTGCTGGGGGCAGGGGAGGGGATGCACAAGGGGCTGACACCAGCACAGAGCTTATGGGGCACAGATCTCCCTTGTGTGCCCCACTCACACAAAACACGTGCCCCTTCTCAGGCTCAGCTTGTGTGCCCATCCCATCCCATCCCATCCCATCCCAGCAGTGCCAGCAGCACCCTGGGGCACAGCACACCAGCCCCATGCCAGAGCCAGAGCTGTGTCCCCAAGCTGTCTCTGCCAGCTCCCACTGGATGAGAAATGCAGGGTGACAGAACGCCCTGGAGAGGCCAGGAGCTGCAGAGTGGCACTGACAGGGGGGAACAAACCTCTGGCCTCTTCTTCAGGTCAGGCTGGATGCCCAGAACATGCATTGCCTCTGGAGGGACATCCCTACCTCCTCCAGAGCCGCTGATCTTCATCTCACGCAGCTGCACCAGCTGCTGCGCCTCTTCCAGCTGCTTCTCCACCGACTCCAGCTTCTTCTGCACTTGGTCGTGCTTGCTCTGGGGAAGGGAGCAAGGGAGCAGCTCTACCCTGCTCTGGGGCACTCAGGAGGGCTCTCTCAGGGGGATGGCAGGTCACTGTCCCCACACAGGGGCTCGGGGCTGTGGT